ATCATGACCTGAGCCGAAGGCAATCGCTTAACCAACTGAGCCACCCAGGCGCCCCCAGACGTCTCACCTTGAGAGCACCTCCTGCACCAGCACACACACAGCAACCAAGGAAGCAGCTGTCGTCATTGCTGGAGAAGAGCGGGGGTGGGGGGGGTGGGGGGGGGGGGGGGGTGGGGTGCCGGGCTTCTCCCTGCTCTTTCAGAGGAGCTACTCAGAGAGGAGTGGGTCTCCTCACAATTTAAGAGTCTGATCATAACACATTCATGGAAATTAGAACCCGCTCATGGAGCCACAGGCTTATGGCCCCAAAGAAACAAGTCTGTGTCTAGGAAATACCATGCTTCCGGGTAACCGACAGCTGTGACTCTGCACCCTGGTGTGGGAGGGGACGTCAGGGAGCAGCTGCTGTTCCCTGGGTGCGTCAGTGACGATGAGCTAGGTTTTGCTGCAGTAACACACCTAATCTTAGTGGCTTACCATGACGGCGGTTTATTTCTTTCTCATGCTCCATGTCCTTTGTAGCGTTTCAGGGGGCTCTGTTCCATGTCAAGCTGCTCAGAGACCCTGGCTGAGGGAGGCTCCGCCATCTGGACGTCATCAGCTGTTATGGCTAGGGAAGGACACACTAGGCGTTCACACCAGCAGTTACAGGCCCCGCCCCAGAAGTGGCATGGGTCACATCCGCCCACACCCCACTGGCCCTGGGTGATCCTACCATATGCCAGGAGAAGGAAAACCTGAGATCTCCTGAATATTTGGGTATGAGGTGGTTTCCCAATACACTCGGAAAACCACCCTGGCTTCTATCTGCCAGTGTCTCACACGCGAGATAGCAAACCGAGTGTCTCTGAGAATAATTGTCGAATTCCACACCCCAGTTTTAGACCTCCTGGAAGGTAGGGTGATGCCATGAAGCAGGACTGGGTCAGGAGTGAAGGATCCAGGTTTGATTGTTGCCTTTGTTCCGATTCTGCTGTATGACCTTGGTCAGATTTCTCCTGTGAATGGAAACACTCAATTAGGGGACCTCTAGTACCCTGTCACCTCTGAAACATTTCCTCCTTCTGTCTAGCAACTTCTAACCCTGAAGTCTGACAGACCTAGGGTTACTTTGCAAGGTAAATATTATATCAATTTCATTGGCTGGCGAATCTAGTTTGAACCATTTAATATTTTATTTTAGGCTTCACAAATTATTTTAAAAGAAAGGGGATGGGCATAAAAGGACCGAAGCTTCTGTTGCAATTTCCCTGACATGCCTGGATCTAGGATTCCTGCTTGACCACGTCTTCGCTGGATGGCAGAGCAGGTGAGTGTGGGCTTTGGAGTCAGACCCACCAGGGCTCAAGTCCCAGACTGCCACTTGCTAGCAGTTTTCTCAGCCTCACCTCCCTTACCTGTAAAGTGGAGATAAGCATAGTGTTTCCTTGTGGGGTTGTTTTGAGGATCCAGTGAGATGAGGCGTGCAGAGCTCTTAGCACAGAGCCTGGCACACGGTAAGTAATCAGTACGTGGTAACCAGTATCGCTTGTATCATTATGTCCTCTTTCGCAAGCAGTTATTCTGGTTTTCACATGTTTAAAGAAGATTTCATGAGAATAGTCCACAGGCTAGATGGATTGTCCTTACCTCATCATACATATTGCCCAGTGGCATGAGCACATGCAGGTAGCTGGAGCAGGCTGCCAGGTGTCCTGACCCAGGGCTTCGGAGAGCAGAGCCGGCAAGTGCTGAGCTCATTACCGGCAGACACACTGTGCCGGGATGGGCCAGGGCCAAAGCCTTGAGGACCAGCCTCCTGGTCCCCTGCCACCATAGCCTTCTGCTCCGTGCCCTGGGGAACCTCGCAGTCCCTGCCCAATTTAAAGTTCAGACTCTGGAACTACACAAGTTTGCGGGTTTGGCAGCTGTGGGGCTCAGAGACCCCAGGATTCTTGTGCTTTCCTGGGAGGGCCTGGCTGCAGTGAGATGAGTGCAGGAAAAACACTGGCCAGAATCTGATCGGGTCTTGGTGCCGCCCTGTCGCTTGGATCCGAGGATTGAAGTCTGGGGCCCCCTGTCCTAGGCATGGGTGTCTTGGTCTGTGAGAAGAGGTGTCTCCATTCTAGAATGTTGTGAGGATCAGGACTCATGAAAGTTCCAGAAAGCGCATTGCTGTAGAGTATGAGGCCACGAGCACTCTTGAGGGACTTTAAGTCAAGGGTTCAGTCAGGTGCATGGGTCTCTACACGTTTCCTTTCCCTTCCCTTCATAAAAACTAACAACCAACACAGTTGTTGTAAAGACGACAACACAGCCTTAAATAAATCAGCAGCAGCGACAGAGTTTTCCCTTATACTGTGATTTGTCCTTCTGAATCTTTATCAAGATCCCAGGTCAAAGTCAAACATTTGAAGACTGTTAGCACTTGTTGTCTCCGTGCTTGTGGAACAGTGCCCTCTTGCCACCCATGGACACCTGGAACTCAACACCATCCCCCTGCATCTCTCATCTTCCCCATCTCTGTCTCAGTGGGCGGCAAATAAGCCAGAAACACAAGCTGCAACCCACAGGCCTCTCTCTCCGTCTTCCAGCTCTGCAGTTGTCTGTGTACCCCAAGTATTTCTCAGCTGCCTTCTCTCCGCTTGGTTGCCCAGTGGGTCAGGCTGCCCCTGACTTATTCCCATCCCCACCATGAGAGACTGGAATAGGGCAGCAGCTTCCTCACTTCCTGCCTCTCGGGCTGGAGGCCTTCTCATCAGTGCTCTATTCTGGAACCAGGTGACCTTGCATTTCTTAAAAATGCATCACCTTATTTTTTAAATTCAAAATTAGAACATGACTTCTAAGTTCAAAGTCATGTTCATATTATATAAATATTGGAAATATTGGAATTAGTTAAATAAGAAAACAATTGGCTCTAACTGATCAATCCTATTTAACCCCTCCACCCAGTGGAAACAACTCTTAATATTTTGTCCTGGTTTCCCAGGATTTTTTGCATATATACTAACTCATAAATCCATAACAAAAATACTTTAAAAAATAACATTGGGATCATAGTGAATGCAAAGTTGTGAATTCTGCTTTATTCTATTAATTACATTGTGAGCATTTCTCATTATCAAATATTCTTCAGAAAATAAGAATTTTTTGAAGACTGCATCACATCCTATCATTGGACACCACCAGTATTTATTTGGACATTCTTCTATGATTGGATGTTAAGATTATTACAACTTTTTGTTACTGCAAATAATGCTATGATTGATGTCCTCATACATATCCTTGTTCATAAATCTTTATGCTTCTAATGATCATATGAGACTAATTCTTAGAAGTAGATGGGTTAGGTCATAGAGTCTAGCAATTTTTTAAGTCTTTGGATCATACTTCCAACTGACTTTTCAGGAAGTTTATATTAACTCATTGCCATCCCCACCAGCAGCATAGGGCATTACTTCATTACCAATAGAAATTAAAAAAATTCTTCACCAATTTCATGGGTGGAAAATGGTATCTAATCAGTGAGCTATCTAAAAGTAAATGTGATTGTAAACCCCAGTGCCCACATGATAACGTCCAAACTCCTGTCATGGCCTCAAAGCTGGACATCTTGGCAGGCGGGCTTCAGTGTGGCTTGGTCAGAGAGGGTAGAGCTTCAGGGGGCAGGCTGGGCTTCTCTCCTACCAACATGGGAAGCAGAAAGAGGGACTGGAGTGGAACTGAGGGCTCTAGCAAGGACCGGGCTTCCCTGTGGCAGGGGGCAGGAGAGCTGGACTGCTTCTTGGAGGCCAAGGCCCGTGTCCCCATCGTATAGATGGTGCCACTGAGGCAGGGTGGGGGCAGGCAGGGAAGGAGATACTCTGTGAATCTGTATCCATTTCTACTGTGTGCTCACTGGGTTGTCAGAAAGGAAAGCTGGGAAGAGGCTGAGCACCAGGAAGGGGCAGCTCTGGCAGGATCCCTATGATGAGGTAAGGAAGGGTAAAGCAAGTCTCCCCAAAGTGAGGTGAGGCCTGGATGCTGGGCTGGGAGGCATGGCAACAGTTGCTGTTCCTGCTCAAGACCAATGTTGGGAACATAGGCCCTGGGCTGCTCAGCATGACCGGTACCCCTGTGGCTGGACCGCTCTGGGGATCATGGACTCTGGGCCTCGTCACTGCCTCTACTGTCACCTCCCAGGGCACCAGGTCATGCCTGTCATCTTTGAACTCTGTCTCCGCTCTGCTCAGATTCAGGAAGGTTGCCAGGCTCTGCCACCATCACCCCTACACTGTTGTGTTCATGTATTTATTTACAAAACCTATGGGGGGCCTAGGGTTGGGCAGGGCTGGACCTTGGGACAGAGTAGATTCTGACCATCCCTGCTCTTACAGTAACACTGAAAATAAAACAGGAGGAGCTCAGGTGAGGAGGCTTCCTGGTGGAGGTGGCATTTGAGCTGGGCCTCGAGGGTCTTGCCATCCTGGAGTTGTGTGCTGGGTGTGGCTGCCTCGTGGGAAGAACCAGGAAGAGCATGGAGCTGGGCAGGGCTGGGCAACACTGGGGCTCACACCTGGCTGCTCAGGTGGGAGAAGGTGGGGCAGAAGGTTGGGGGTTAGGACCAGCAGGGCCAGCTTGTGAAGGCCTAGAATGCCCCACGGAGGAGCTTACACTTTGTCCTGAGAGTAGGGGGAGGCTTTTGGGGGTTTCAGTCAGGAGAGGATGTGATCACATTTGCCTTTCACAGAGGTCCCTCTGGATGCCCCAGGGAGGATAGAGTGGAAGGACCACTAGGAGTGCGGTCTTGAGGCCAGCCAGGAGCTGGTGTAAAGGTACAGGAAGTGATGTGGAGAGCTGGCCAGGGTGATGCCAGGGAAGGAGCCGAGGGTGCTTTGTGAGCAATTCTGGGGCAGCATCAATGGGACTCGGTGCTGCCTTTCTGGGATGAAGATTCTAGACTCAGCCCTACACCCCACCTGTCCTCAGTGTAGGCCTATGAAGGCCTCACCTACTAATCTGAAGATCCCAGGCCTCCCTCACTGGGACGTCCAACTCCTACCCCACACTTTCCTGGCAGCCTCCTTCACCTCCTTGTTCCTCAAGCTGTAGATGACAGGGTTCAGCATGGGCGTGACCACAGCATAGAGGACCGTGAAGACCTCATCAGAGATGCGGGCCTCCTTGCTCTTGGGTTTCATGTACATGAATATGACGGTGCCATAGAAAAGCATCACCACGGCCAGGTGCGCCGAGCATGTGGAGAAGGCTTTGCGGCGTCCGGCAGCTGAGGGCACTCTCAGGATGGTGGCCAGGATAAGTGTGTAGGACAGGCAGACAAATGTCAGAGGTATAGGCAGCAGCAGGATGGCCCCAACCAGCAGGAAGACTTCACTGACAGAGGTGTCACTGCATGCCAGCTTCAGCACTGCCAGGATCTCACAGGTGAAGTGACTAACCACATGGTGGCCGCAGAAGGGCAGCCTCATGGCAATGACTGTCTCAGTCACTGACTTGAAGAGACAGAGGACCCAGGCGGTTCCCGCCAGCGACAAGCAGAGCCGGGGGCTCATGAGCACGGGGTACCTGAGTGGCCGGCAAATGGCCAGGTAGCGATCATAGGCCATGATGGCAAGAAGCAGACACTCTGTGGAGCCTGTGGAGAGGCTCAGACACATCTGGATTGCGCAGCCAGTAAAGGAGATAGTCTTCTGGGCTGACAGGAGGTGGACCAGCATCAGAGGCACAAAGGTAGACGTGTAGTAGATGTCCAGGATGGAGAGGTTGCCCAGGAAGAAGTACATGGGCATATGCAGGCGGACATCCAGGACACTCACTGCCACGATGGCTGTGTTCCCCAGCAGGGTCACCAGGTACATGGTTGAGCACAGAGGGAAGAGCAGGTGCTCCAGGGCTGGGTAACCAGAAAATCCTTTCAGAAAGAACTCAGAGATCTCTGTCCTATTGACCAGCTCCATATTGCTGTGCTCAAGGGGGCACATGGCTGTGATGGAAGGAAAGAGGGTGCAGGGTTGTGGGAGAGCCCACAGAGCCTCTTTTGGGTGGGGGTGTGTTGCTAGGGCCTTTTCCAGTTCTTACACACACTCTGTCCTTGAGTTTGGGCAATCTGTGCACTTCTGGGCTGTAATTCATCCATGTGAAGAGTGAGCATTGATCTGGATCAGCATTTCCCTGAGAGAGTGTTAATGAAAATGTTAGTAGGCAATCTGAAAAATTAATCTGAGACAACACTAAATTAATTAAAAATAAATAAAGCCCTTTAGTGCAGGACTTCTCATATGCCAATGTGATTTGTGACCTTCCAAAAGTGGTATAGGGCATGTAATTCCCAAACTTACTTGACCATGGGTCCTCTTTTTACATTAATCTACAGCAGATAAGTATTCTTTTTTTTTTTAAAGATTTATTTATTTATTATTTGAGAGTGAGAGAGAGTATGTGCACAAGAGGGGAGGGGCAAAGGGAGAGAGAGAATCTCCAGCAGACTCCCTGCTGAGCATAGCTGAACACAGGGCTCAGCTCACGACCCTGAGATCATGACCTGAGCTGAAACCAAGAATCACCCAGGCGCCCCTACATCAGATAAGTGTTCTAACATAGTTTGGGGGAAAATCAGAGGTCCTCAAATCTTAATGTATAGCAGAATCACCTGGAAAGTTTGTTAAGACACAGATTGCTGGGCTCCATCCCCAGAGCTTCTGACTCAGTTTGTGTGGGTGACGTTTCTTCTGCTTGCCACGGCAGCACACTTGAGAATCCCTGGGCTAGATGGTTCCTGAGGGTTCTCCCGGCTTTCAGGAAGCCTCTGAGCTGCTTTACACTCTTCCCACTGTTGGGAATGCCCTTCTCCTTTATTTCTCAACCTGCAGACGTCTGGTTGTGTCTTCAGCTTGGCTCTGGTCTCCATGCATGAGGCATACATTGTGCCTCTCCTCGGAGGGGCTGCTGAACTCTGAGCCTCTCAGCAGGCTCATCCACCTGTCCCTCCACAGGGCCTGTTCACCAGCTACTGTGTGCAGACCGACCTTCAGAATCTGCCTTCATCATGGGCTTTGGAGCTGCAATTTGAAGGAGTAGCTGGCCTGGCCCCCAAACTCCTATTTTCTCTGGGTGTGAGCCAGAGCCGCTTTGGCCCTATGAACTTGTAGGGCATCAGCATGGAAAGCTCCCTGAGAGGCGAACCTATTGGATCTCACTGAAGGTAGGAAACTGAGATCATGTCGTGGGTCCGTGGCAAGGTGAGTCTAGAATCCAGTCCTCCCGACTGTGTGACACCACATCATGCTCACAGCAGATGTTTGCTTCTGTCAAGGGCCAAATGTTGGTGGTCCTTTTATCATACCGGGTGAACATCTTTCTCCCACATTCTCCCCCAATCTTCCCACCAGGTAATGAACGTAAGTCAACTTTTCCTTAGTGTTTTGGGCACCTGGCATTGATGTCAGTAAACCCATGGGACACGCTGCGCACATCTGGGTCTGGAGGGAACCCCAATTCTTGTGAGCACCTCACTTGCATGAGATAGTTCCCTTTTATTCGTCCTGTGTTTATCCGTTCCAGAATGAAGAAGAGATTGAGTTCCTATGACACACCAGGCACCGTGCTAGGCATTAGGGGAATGAATGAGGACATATGTGCTCCCAGACCCCTAAATTCAAACTATTCCTAGGGAGAAATCCTCTCCAGTTTCCATGCCTAGCCTCATCCTGCTTCTGTCTGTGGGCCCTTAGTGATAAGAAGCCTGTTTCTCCCATGGACATACCTTTCTTCTCCTCCCCCCCTTTTTATCTCTTTCTGTCAAGCCATGCTAAGGGTCACAAAAATCCTTCCTGATATGGAGTCTTTGGGCGTTACTGGGCCTACACCATCCAGCAGGGTGCAGGCTGAGTGGTCCTTGTGGACACTTCCCTCTCACACAGAACAAACACAGGGTGCTGGGTGCTGGGCCCAGCACAGGGATGAAGGGCCCTTTCTGCAGCAGGGAGAGCTCTGCCCTAGCCTTGGGTCCTCAGGTAGAAGGTCTTGCCTCTGCTTGACTGTGTCTAGAGACATTGTGGGGTCAGGGGAGCATGCTCCGCAAGCTTCCTCCAAGATGCTGCTGGGAAACCTGAGACTGGGCTCCTGGAGGGACACCTCTATTTAACTGAGTGTCAGTAGCAGTAGATGTTGTGCCAGAGGCGTGGATGGCAGAGAGGTGGCATTGTGTGCAGCCGCAGTAGTCGGGTCTTGCATAGCTTCCTCTTTGCACGGTTACACATACTATAACCTATCCCCTAAAGTCACTAGCAAACATGGGCGGCCATTGGCTCTCTGTTGCAATATACACACAGCTACATCATGTCCCCACATATGGCTCCCAACTACAAGTGTATGCACAAACAACTGTTTGAGCCCCACGTACTCACAGATGTGCCTGTGTGAATACATGCTGCACATCGGCTCATGTGTGTCCCTGTATGGTCATTCATGTGAAGGTGTGCACATGTGTGGCAGGCACTCTCACTTTCTTGTGCATTAGCTCTCTCTCTCTCTCACACATACACACACACACTCACACACGCAGACACCAGTAGTGCAGACATTCGGACTTGTGGCCAGGGCTTCAGAGGACCAAGCAGGATGACTAGGATGAGTGGAGACCAAGCAGGGGCCCTGGAAGTGCCAGGAGAGAAGGAGCAGCCCTTGGGGTGGGGAGCATACTTTGGGTTGAACCAGGAGGAGAAAGAAACATCAGAGCAGGGATATGGTTATGGAATCAGCTCAATGTCTTGTCTGCTTTCTAGCCTGAGTGCTGAGTTGCTGGGTTTCCCTGCTCTGCTGTCTCTCCTTCAGCTGGGGGATGGGGGCCTATGGGAAGAGGGGCCAAGAAGGGATGTGGCTGGATGCTGGGGAACTCTGGTTCCTAGAGCAGGGCTAGGAAGCTTTGTCTGCAGAGCCCACAGTGTCCTTTCTGCCTTTGCCTCACTCCTGGACATAGGCTACTTAAAAACCAGTTCAGATGCCACCTCTCCCAGGAAGCCTTCTTTTATTTCTCCCAGGCCAGCTCGAACCCTCTCTCCTTTGTGCACCATGGCCCTGTGTTGGCATTTCCAAGGTGGTGCTCACCTCTCTCACTCACTCTTTGCCTCTTGCCTACCCTGCCAGCCCATAGGGATGCCACCTCCTTCCCCTCCTCACCCAGGTTCTGAAGGCCAAGTTGAAGTCCCCAGCCTGACCACAGCCAACTTCTTCCTGTCTTGCTGTGACTTCATGGGGCTAAGACAAATTGGGAGTGAGCAGCTGGGTGACAATCATGAACTGTTCCCAATCTGGAAGACAGCCTGGCAGAGCCCGGAGGGTCTTGCAGCTCATGGAGACCACCCTCTTTTTACATATGGAGACTGAGACCCAGAGAGGAGAAGGGGCTTGCCCAGCATCATCACATACTGAGTTGGGGGGGAAGCCAAGGCTCCAGTAATTCCTTGGGGCTCTTGACTCCCAGCCAAGGCCCCTTCCCCTGTGGGGAAGTCCACTTTTTTACTTACCTTGAGGCTCTTTCAGACCCATGTTTCCTGTTTCCCAGAAGATAATTCAGAGACCAGGAGCCTTCTTTAGCTGCAGCTCGGAGAACACAGTTGAAAGAAATGGGTACACAGGGAACCCTGGTGGGCAGGACACAGGGTTTCACACTGACCCAGCTTCCCAAACTAAGAACACATGCCTATATTTGTGCAGAATTCAGGGAAGTGTTTGCAACTTGATAGAATTAAGTGGAACTTTTAGAACTGGGTGGAATTAGGCAAAGTACTCAGAATTCAGTGGAGGTTCTCTAAAGGGTGTCAGGTTTGGTGGAATTAGGAAATGCTGACGTGCTCAAGGCTGCACAGGGTCCTCAGTAGCTTACTGTGGGCAGCCAGGGTCTCCCCGACCTGGGCAGCTCCCAGCTCCATCGTGACTGACAGCCTCCCAGGGAGCAGGCAGCCCGAATGGAGTAGACACCTTTTAAAGCTCCCTATGTGCCAAGGGACTGTGCAATCCCCAAGGCAATTTAGAGGGAGAAGGGGAAATGCGCCCAGCTTAGAAACTTTGGGGTGCTTCAGGGATGATGTCCCAAAGACCCAATTACACAGAGTCTAGTTGGAAATCTTAATTGGTGTGAAAAAGTTGGAGAAAGTGACTCAGGGTCAGGATCCACACTCATAGGTCAGCCTCCAGCCAGTGTGGCTTGTGCATGTGTACAGAATGAGTAAATGAGTGGATGGATGAATAATTGAATAAATGCATAAACACTTCTTGGTGAATAAATTTTAAAAAATTAACGGGTGAGCACACAAATGGGAGGCAGAGGCACTTTCCTGAAGTTAGAGGTCCTGCCAACTTTCATAGGGATCTCAAGAAAATGCAAAATTTGGAAAGAGTATAACAGGGAGGGAACTGGGTGAAGAGAGACAGAATTAAAGAATATCAGAGCATGGGAGTCTGTATCTACCATCCTGGCACACCCTCATTGGATGGATAGGAAAACTGCTCTAGGGAGGCGGAGCGGCTGGCTCAGGGTCCTGGGTTTGCTCTGTGACGCTGATGTGTCCGCTCTTGAATGCATCACCCTCGGTCAATGCCAAGCAGGTCTGCCCAGGTCAGGTAGTGACTGGGGGCCTCTCACTGCACCTGGCTCCTCCTCTCCACGCTCAGCACAAGTTCTGATGGTGGCTCCTTGAGGTTCCTTGCAGTTCTCAAAGTCCATGCTTCTGTGGGCTTGAGGGCCTCGTTATCAAATATGGTCATATCTATATCTAGATAGATATGCATATCTACACAGAAAGATTGATTTTGTAATCATATGTAAGTATGGCTTTTAAGCATGCTTTCTTGTTGCAGTCTTATTGACAATGAGTGATGAACAGTTGCATATATTTAAATCATATAATTTGATGAATTTTAACATAAGTGTACAGTCGTGAAACCATCAACACAATCA